AGAGAGTGGGTTAATCTCCTCTTATTTATTGGGCCTGGATTTCATCATCATTGCCTATGTTGGACTGATCATTGGCATCACAGCCCAACACAATTCCCACCATTTTTGGTGAGAATAGGATTTCCAGCCCCTTTTTTTTTTTTTTTTGGCAATTGGAACAAATTCTATCCCCAATTGTAACAAATTTTGTCTTTTTAGTTGAAAATTTTCATGAAAAATAAAGTCAAATGAACACCAAAAGATAAAAAAATTTCAACATTTTTCAGGTAGAAAACTATACCAATCAAACACATTCTATTGTCAATTCCCAGTAAAACAAGTTCTAGGTAATTTAATTCCATGAAATTCGTTTTTCTTTCTACCTAAATTTCATCCTTATAATTAAACGGACCCTAAGTGAAGTATGTGAAAGAAAAAAAGGATTTGGTGGCCGAAAGTTTGACCTATGACATCGCATGGGGTCATGCAAGGACTAAACGCGCAGCGTGACCTTGTTCTATGCGATCGCATAGGTTTGTTCTATGCGGTGGTATAGAAAAATATGTTACCATTGGTGATCGTTTTTTACCGTTTTGGTTTAAATTCTTGGAGGCTTTTCACCACATTTTGGCACCATTTCGTGTGAACTTACCCATGCTTATAAATAGGTGACTATATTCAAGGCATAAGCATTGAAAAACACTTACGATCAGCACACTATTCCACAAATAAAGATCAAAACTCCATTCTATTTCATATTCAAAGTTCTTTCCCTATGTTCTTCAAGTTTTGGGATATTTCACTTGTGTTTGATGATAATCTTCTTCAAGGCTTGTTAAAATCTTGCAAACCATTTGTCCAGATCCTTAAAAGCATCTCATTTAATTTGAGAGGAGCAAATATCAATTGAGGACAAGGACATCGTGTTCGAGCCTTCACTTTGATATCTTAATTCCAAATTTTATTCTTGTTTCTTCTCTGAAAAAAAAAAGGATTTGGTGGCCCGAAATTTGGCCTATGCGATCGCATGGACCAAATGCCCATGCGGTCGCATGGGGTCATGTAGGGACTAAACGCCCTGCATGACCTTGTTCTATGCGGCCGCATAGAACAAATATGTTACCGTTGATGACGCTTTTTGACCATTTTGGTTTAAATTTTTGGAGGCTTTTTCACCACATTTTGACACCATTTCGTGTGGACTGACTCCATGCCTATAAATATGTGAGTATGTTCAAGGTACAAGTATTGAAAAACACTTATGATCAACACACTATTCCACAAACAAATATCAAAACTCCATTCTATTCCATATTCAAATTTCCTCCCCTGTGCTATTCAATTTTTGGGAGATTTTACTTGTGTTTGGTGTTAATCTTCTTCAAGACTTTTAAAATCCTAGAAGTTATTTGCCAAGATCCCTTAAAGCATCTCATTTAATCCGGGATGGGGCAAATATTGTTTGTGAACTATGATATTGCAATCAAGCCTTCACTTAGATATCTTGATTCCAGATTTTATTCTTGTTTCATCTCCATTTCTCTTTTGTGAAAGATATATTTTCCAACATCTCTCTCTATAGTACACCCACGTTTTTTGTTCTCTACAACTGCTAGAAGATGATCACACATAGAAGACGATGGTTTGCACTTGAAAGAAAACATGATTTAAATGCATGGGATGCTTAGACAAAACACTTTTTGATTCTTTATTTTCCTTATATCCTATTAAATACACAATTTTCGCAAAACAATTTGTGAGCTTTAGACAAAATAATCAGTTTGGCCTTTTGTGGAAAATAATATTAGAAAGATTAATAATCAAACGATCACGAACAAAATAATGGTTGGAGATTTTGATTGAAACCAATACTTTTAGTAATTCAGATGGAATTATTGACAATTATATTATTGGTGATCACTGAGACAACTTTGAAGATTATTACAAGTAGTGATATCGTTGAAAGTTATAGAAAATACTTCAGTGAAAAGTCACTGATGATCGTCAACGGTGATACTTGGATATTCTAATTGAAGTCAATTCTTTTTCAACAATTCAAACAAAATTACCAATAACGACATTATTGTTAATATCACATTCATATGTGATTCTCGATTTCATTTGTGATGTTGGAATCATCGGCGATGATTCAGTCACCAACGAGATGCTATCAATGATCACAGACATCATGGTTGTCGATAATTCTGATTATAACCAAAATATGTTAGTGATTCAGACAGAATTATGAATGTTGCTACGTGATATCAACAACACACATCTTCAACTATTAATGATAATAACATCATCAATGAAATTTCCAAAAAAAATAAAAATAAAAATAAAAAAATCAATGGTGCATCAGTCACTGACGATAAGCTGTTATTGTTACTCATAAAATTTAATGATTTCTATATTTTTATTTTTTAGGAAATATTTTGACATAATTATGACATAACCAATTAATATATTATTTTTTGAACTTCTCTTTTGCTTTCAGCATAATTTTCGGTTGGTATTAAATTATTATATTTTAATTCTTATTTACTGAAGTTCTTTAGGAAATTAAAAATTTAAAATAATAATGTTTTAACAGGACTAACTAGAAGACAACTCGTAGTCTTAGATTATTATTTTTTTAATGTTATTGATTACCAAAAAATTTTTCATTAAAAAATCAAGGACAGATATATGTAAATATTAAAAATTGAGGCTTTCAATAAAGGGAAATCTTACTTTTAAATTTTTTTTGGACATCTTAATTAACATTTTCAGGATGTGTAAAAATTCTGACCATTGATTTGAATAAGTGTTCGTCACGTCATGAAATGTTAGTAAAACTCTTTAATAAATATGGGACTTAGGCGACCGTCAAACTTGCCTTGAGCGGACTCTGGGCAAACAAAGTCAAATATGATATTTTATTGCTAAATGGGCATTAACACAAGAGAACGAGAGAGAGGGCGTGTGGTGGGGTGGAGTGGAGTGGGAGGGAGACTTCAAATGTTCACATCTACAATTTGGAATCACTTTTTAGAATCATGCCAAGTGTATGTTCCATAAGTTAATCTCGGTGTATATTGCGTTGAAAATCAAAAGGTGTTAGGCGATAAATTGTCTTTTTTTTTTCAAACTGTTTAATCATGTGTCGCCACGTGGCATAATGTAAAATAAAATGTACATATAACATGATTGTACTGTTTTTATGTCTTTATGAGAGGGAGAGAGAGAGATATTAAAGTTTCATATCAACTATTTGGTAGCCAAAGCTTTACATTTTATGTCTTATATGAAGATATTTATAAGAGCCTAGGGGTCCAAATGGATGGAAAATTTGACCGTTAGTCGATCAGACGTAATAGGATTGACCAAATTTAAAAGGTTAAAGTAGTAAATTTATATTTTACATAATAAAACAATTTAAATAAAATAATTGAATCAAAAAATTAAAAAATGGAAACCCTATTCAAAATTTCATCCACCCCACCCAACCTTTCCATCCTCCCTCAAAACCAAACAAGACAACAGGGGCTAAGCCATTGTCACCAAAGCCTTCACTCCTTAAATGAAAAAACCTTCAGTTGCTCCCCCAAAAACTGGCCAAAACATAGAAAAATAGAAACCAAAATCGAAAAAATTGGACTCTCAACCCATCAACCGGCCAAAACATAGAAAAATAGAAACCAAAAAACTCCTTCACACTGTAAACCATTGGAGTTTCCTCTGGCCAATTGTTCACAAACCATAGGATGTTTAATAGAAGTTATAAGAACTAATTAACAAGTTGAGAAGCTTTGGTCAGTGTGCTTTGGAGAATTTCTGGGCTTTCGGTGTTCTCAGATTTTGGCTTCCAGAGTTTTTGAATTCTGGCTTCCAGAGTTCTCGAGTGTGTTTGAAAATGAGGACTTGTTAGTTGATTTACTAAAATCCCAGATGAAGATGAAAATGAGTTCTCATCAGCTTCAGCTAGGGATGTTAATTGGGCTCGTCGACTCGGGTCGAAAAAAGCCAGAGCCGGCCCATTTTGCTTGTCGGCTCGAGCTCAGGCCTCATTTAAAAATAAAATAAAGTAATGAAGAAAAGAAAAACAAAAAAAAGGCAGCAAGCTCTGAGAAAAAACAGAGCCGGCTCGAGCTCGGGCTCTACTCGCTAAGGCCCGAGCCAAAAGCTCGGGTCAAGCCTTTTTTTTGGCCAAGCTTTTGCTCGGCTCGGGCTTGAAAAAGTATGTTAGATTTTACTCGAGCCGAGCTCAAACCTTGAGTTTCGGCTCGCGAGTCAGCTCGGCTCGACTTGTTGACATCACTAGCTTCAGCCACATGAATTTTTCCTTCGTTTACAGTTACAACGTTTTCTTTTAGCTTCAATTGAAGTCTTGTGGATGAAGGTGGTGACGGCCGACGGTGAAGGTTTTGGTGGGGATGGCCAAAGTCTTGTTCATGGTGGTGGTTGTGGCCGACTGTAACTTAGCCACTGTTGTCTAGTTTGGTTTTGAGGGAGGGAGGAATGAAAGAAATGGAAGGGAAGAGTGGGGTGGGGGTGGATTTTGATTTAATTATTTTATTTTATTTAAATTGTTTTATTATATAAACAATTTTGCTACTTAACAAACAGGGTGATCGAATTGCCACTTGCCAATTCTATGTTGGTTGGTGGAAAAGCTGTTTTTTCCACCAACTAATTGTGATTTGCCATTTCGCAATTCTGTCATCCAAGGAGTCATTCTAAGTGTTATTATAGCAAAACTCTTATATAAAATATAAATTTACTATTTTAACTTTTTAAACTTGGTCAAAATTTGGTCAATCCTATGGCTTTTGGTCAACTAATGTTCAAATGGACAATTTTCATCCATTTAGATCCCAGGTGCATATTTTTGAAAGGTTTGGAATTGTGAATTACACAAATTGAAGGTTACGGTAAAGTTTACAAAAATATGAAAGATTAGGGATCGTTGCTGCCATTTTCCCTTTAATCATTCCATCTACATTTCTCTACTGCCAATATCTCAACACTGGCTAGCATAATTATCCAAAATTCAAAACTATATTAATAATAACAATAATAACACTATTAAAGAACCTATATAGATATACCTCTATTGTGTGATGTACATTTTAATCTATTTCTATGCCTATTATATGCCATCTTCCTCAAAATCCCACATGTTTGGTACAAGGGAATAGATTATGATAATCGACAAAATTTTCTAGATATTTTTCTTCTTTAATCCTGCCCACTCACATTCAACAGGAGCATACCTTCTCTAACTTGGCCTGACAGTGATCCATTTATCCGAGGACTCAGCATTTGTTCTGTCATTCTGTGACACTTTATTTTCCAAGTGACAGAATCTCGTTAAAAAAGGAATTCCTCGATTGCAATCAACAGGATCACCGGGTGAATTATCCCAATCATTCTCATACATTCCGGAGTCTAAAACACTAGCAGGTGAATGTGCACCTTGGTTTTTAGAATCAGTGGTTTTCAGCTTCTTCCCCGATATAAATGGATGATCAAGCAACTTTTCAACTGTACACCTCTTTCCGGGATTCCTCTCCAAGCATTTCTTTAGAAAATCCAATCCCTCTTGAGAAAAATGTGCAGGAAACTCCGGTATCTCATTACTGCAAGCAATCTTGAAAAATTTAGCCATTGGATTCGATATATCACCATCCCAAGGTGGCCTACCAGTGGCCATTTCAATGACTGTACATCCTAAAGACCATATATCTGCAGAAAAATCCAACCCTTCATTTCTCAGAACTTCAGGAGCCATCCACAGGGGAGTCCCTGCAATCCCCCTGCAAATGCAAGATTGTAATGTAACTTTATCGTTTTTCAAACCAATCAACCTCTTTGCACATCCAAAATCAGCCAATTTGATGTTTCCTAATGAGCCCAACAGCACGTTCCTGCACTTGAGATCAGAATGCACAATCCCATTCTTATGCAAATACTTCAAACCCTGGAGGATTTCCCTCGTGTACAAAGCTATGATTTTCTCATCCAATGCCCCACCAAATTTTTCTGCGACATCTGCTAAACTGCCTCCAGCCATGTATTCCATAAAAAGATTATAATTCCTTTCACCATTTGCTTCACGTGACACATGTTTGCCTATGCATTTAACAATAAAAGGAGAATCCAAATCCTCAAGAATTTCAGACTCATTCTCGAGTGACAAAAGTCCAGCCTCTGTTTCTGCAGATTTTATGACAAAAAGTGATCCGGTGGCTTTGTCCATGGCCAAATGAACAGCCCCAAATGATCCCGATCCTATTATTTTCCCCTTTACCCATTCATTGGGCCGTGGAGAGGATAAACACGTGCATTGTCCTGCCATTTCCTCTTCTTCTTGACTTTATTACAAACAGGTTTTGTACAGAATTCTTCGGTAGTAATCAGTCTCAACCCGGGTAGAATAACACAGTTCCCAACCTGTAATTTTGTAATCTTTTAAACGCGAACAGATCTGAAGATTTCTCAATATCTTGCCGAATTGCATAATTCACATAAACAACAATCAAAAATGAGATTTTTTTTTTAATGTTTATATAAGAAAAAGGAAAAGACAGGATTTTCAGTTCTCAACTATCAAGAATTCAAACTGGGAGTTACCATGGAAGACTCTCTATTTGCAGGATTGTTGGAAAAAAATATGGAAATTGCAGTGTAAAGAGCGGTTCCCCAAGACATGGAAAACCGCCCTCAAGGAAAAAAAAAAAAAGGCCTGCCTGTGCGCTCAACAGAAATTGAAGAAAATTGGTACTCGGATGAAAGAGGAAAACAGAAAAGATTTATGGGAACTGCGTTTTAAAAGATTTATAGTAAGATAATGGTTGGTGATCCAAAAATGGCGGAATTCGACAGAGACTGCGGAAATGAACGGGGTAACTGCCATGCAATAGATAGCTTGTGACTCGTGTTTGTGTTTCACCAGATTGACCAATTTTTTAAAAGAGTAAAATAGTAACTTTAAAATTTTAATATAAAATATATTATAATAATAATTAATAAAAAATTAAAACAAAAACAAAAAACACAAAATCAAACTCGCCCCGCCCCGCCCCGCCCCGAAAACAAACCACTGCCATTGTCACCAATCAACGCCTTTGCGGCAACGCATCTTCCCTAAGAATCAGAGTTTCGCCACCATTTCCTCCCAATTCCATTGCCATGGCCACCATTAATGGTTATTGTCGCCGGCCAAAGCTCCCACAAATTATGATTAATGGTAGCGATGGGCAGTTCAAAAACATATGGAAACTTCAAATCCGACAAAAATTTTGAAACTCAAATCAAACCGCAAAATAGCAATTACAGTCATTCTAGAAAAAAGATGATAAACATTAATTTTTAACCATTCAAGAGTGTAATGGATAAATTTCAGACTGTACTGTGGGTGAAGTGGAGGAGGTCAAACAATTGGAGCTCAGTGGAGGGTTTATAATCGGATAGAAGGTAAGAAGCAGGTGAGTAGTCGTACAATGACATCCAAATGGAAACACCAATTCTAGAAGCTAAAATGGTGGTGGTGTAGCCATTCGAATCCCCAGGTACGAAGCCTGGAAAGGTCGAGCTGCCACATGAAGTCCTAACTTTGAACCCAAAAAATTGGAGCCTCCACATGAGGTGAAATCTGCGACACTTCTCCATCTACTAAGTTACCTCGCTACGGCTGATGTGGTGGAGATCGAGACGGTGTTGACGGATTGATATTGGGAGTTGGGGCTGGGAGGTGGAAGTGAGGAATTAGTGGCTGTTGGCCGGTTGACCCGGCCAATTTTTCAAACTGGCCTTTGACCAACGAAAAAAAAAAAAAAAAGACAAAATTATAAAAAACCGTGAAAACCAAAAAAAAAAGAAGAGATTTCCAATTTTACCCTCACTTGAAAACGAAGCAAAGCCGAAGGAGACGGGAAAATACTGTAGCACAGTCGACCCAGACACCGACAAATAAGGAAAAACAGGATACCCACTTGGCCAAAATCCCTCTGAAGAAGGTAAGAAATTTATACCAAAAAAAACCATGTTTATATTTTTATTTTTGGAAAAAAGTATGATTTTCTACATATTTTTTGAGAAATTCATGTGTAAATGTGGAATTTTGGCAACATATTAGTTGGGAAGGAGTGGAGATCGCCGGAAATGGAGTTTTCCGGCGATCGGACATCAAAATGCCGCAAAAGGGCGACTGGGCGCCGTCTGGGCGCACCCAGTCGCCCCCGATGCCCAGACGGCCTGGGCCGTCTGGGCGTCTGCCCAGTCAACTGGGCAACCCAGTTGACTGGGCCACCTGGGCCGTTTTTTTTAATTTTTTTTTCTGGCCCAGTTGACCCAGTTAACTGGGCCGTTTTAATTTTTTTTTTTCCGGTTATTATTGAAGTTAATTAAATAATTATTAATGGCTTATTGTGTGATATGTAATTATTAATTTGAATTGGTTAATTTGAATGTTTATTATGTATTTAAAATTATTAGTAAATATAAGATGTAAATGTTATATTATTTATCGAAATATTTATTAGTTGCTAATCTAATTAATTAATTATTTTATATTAAGTAATAGTAAAAAATTTAAAAGAAATAATATAATATTAAATAATGAATATATCTAAAGAATTGAAAAAAATATTTAAACATTTGTAAAATAATAAAAATAAGCAATTAAATTTGAAAAGTAAATTAGCAAAAAAAACTAAATTAGAAAAGAATTAAAAATAGTATTTAAACATTCATTAAAATTAAAAAAGTAAATTAAGTGTTAGAAAAATAATTAAAATATTAAAATAAGCATTTAAAATCAAGTGTTACTAAATTAATTTTAAAAAAAGAAATATTAAATAAGATATATATAAAGAATTTAAATACATAATTAAACATTTGTAAATAATTAAAATAAGTTTTAAAACTTCATTAAAAATAAATAAGTAAATTAACTGTTAGAAAAAAAATTAAAATAAGCAATTAAAATATCAAAATAAGTGATAGTAAAATAATTAAAGAAATAATTAAATATTAAATAACATATATATATATATATATA